AGTTTTTTTAAAAAAATTAAAAATTCACCTGGAGAAGTTGGTCTTGTTCTTCCCAAAATGCCTTGTTCTCTTCCACACTGAAAGAATTCTCCTCATCCTCATCGGAGCCAGAGGTAATATTCTCCGGCGACACCTCGACTTGCTCGATGAAACCCAAAACCATGTCGGCGAGACTTGCAGCGCTGCCGGGAAATTCCAAAATATCGTCGGAGCTCCGGCGCATCACCGGAATTCTAGCCATTGCTCCGGCCATATTTTATTTTTAGAATCTCCCTCTCTCCTCTCTCTCTCTCTCTCTCACTTTGTTGTTTGTGTCAAAAAACTAGGTAATGGTAATGCACGTGGTCTTGAATGGTTGGGAAACCTGTGGTCCAATTTATAGGTCTATGGTTGGGGCCCACGTGTCCTACGTGGACTAACAAGGCGTCGCGAACATAACATCTTCGTGTTACGTCTGTGGGTTGAAGCATTCGGTGTGTTTCGGGTTTGGACAGCTAATGTCCACGTCCGCATTGACCAATAACGTTGAAGCAATTGAGCTCGAGAGTTATCCGAATATTCCATTTATTGCATTTTTCCTTTTTTTTTTTTTTTTTTCTTTTTTAGTAATTATAATAATAGTGTCTTTTTATCGTGATTAAACAAGTAACAAGATGTGGGCTTTATCCTAATCTCTGGAGGCGCTGTGTGGTGGGGACCACTGAGGTTAAAATCTGCCCGCGGTCAGTGGGCACAATCAAGCACAAAATACACGTGGCTTTTTCTAAGGATTTGATGGCCATAGGCTTATCCCATTCTAAGTGGGACCCACTGTCTGTCCATAGTTGTTGTGAAATTTGTCCCCATATGGTTGTGCAAAACTTTTATAGGGAGGTATAATGATTATTAGCATAAAAAGCACCAAGGTACACTCCCTACTTCTGGAGTTATTTACACTGATAGTTCTCAAGGTTCAAAAATCATGCGGATATGACTTAGGTTAGTTAATCAGGATAGTGAACTTCGTTTTATACACCTAAATTAGTTTTTTGTAATAAAATTAATTTAGTTTAGTTTAAATTATCGCTTATATCAATAAAAATAAAAATAATCAGAAACAACATTAACATTCTTTGAGGTTTCAAACTGTTTTCATAAAGCTTCTACTGTTAATTTTCTGTCCCGAACTTACTAACGTCATCAACAAAATTTCTCCAAATAACTAGTTCAACAATAGAAACTAGATTGTACATACACTCCTAAGTTCTAATATTAGAAGTTAATTTTGTTATATGAAAAAATAAAATAAAATTATAGCATAATCAATTTTTAAACTGAAAACTAACGAATTAGGTTTTGTGAAAACGATTTGAAACCTTAGAGATTTTTAATATAATTTCTTAAACCTCATGTAAAGTTACCTTTTCTTAATAATTGAACTCGAGTTCATAGACTAATAAAACGATTAACCCAAATTTTTAAAATACATTTTACACACATTTTTCATGTTTGTTTTGACTATTGTGTACGCGGTGAGGTCCACCAACGTTGATAATTGCCATGTTGGCCAACACTGTCATCTGCGCCATGGCAAAAAGTATATATAATTAATTCTGTTATCATCTCTAAAGATTTGGTGCAAGGGTAGCATTGTAATTACAAATTTTATTCAACAAGAAGTATTGTGAACAGAAAAGTGGGTACAAATTCAAGTTCGGTGTCAGAAAGTCCTTCTCTTCCTGGTGCCGATTTCATTGGGTCAAAATGCGGTGGAATTTTGAGTGGTTTCCCATCTATAACAAATCATAATACCAAATTATATTGACCAAAACTATACCTGAAATTTAAGAAGTGGGTACAAAAGGAAGCGTCTTGACACAAATCATAATGCCAAGTTTATTGGACAAATATATATACCTGAAATTGGAGCTTAAAACAACAAGAAGAATTTGTTGTCAAGGGCTAACAAGAATGCTACCAACCTTCAAATTACCCGCAAAGAAAAAAAAAAGTTAAAACAAAAACTGCCAAACTTGTTACTCGCTTACTACACAATCAACCCTCAAGCATTCCGTTATCGCAGTTATTTACACTAACATTTTTTGAAGGTTTTTTTTTTCACAAAAATTCCTGAAGTTCCAGATATTACATGAACACCCCTTGAAGGTTTTAAATTGTTTTCACAAAACCCCCTTTGCATTGATTTTTTTGGTGCAAAGATTGATGATTTTATATATACAAAAATTCTCCAAATGACAAAGTTAACCTTTGAGATTATATTGCACATATATTCATTGAATATAATTTTGTCATTTGCATAAGTTTTTTTTTATATGAAATCATCAATTTTTAGACAAACAATCAATTTCATTATAATTGCAATCCAACTAAACTCAAGTGAGTTTTTTCTTATTTTAAATTTAATAATTGTCGTTCAAGATATTTGAACTGAAGACTTCCTCAAATTAAATGTAGACAAGGTGATATTAGACCAAATGATCAACGGTAAAACTAATTAAGCAATATTTGGATATGTAGATTTAGAAGGAGGGTTTTGGCTATGGTGGTATTGAGTTTAATTACATTATTACCCACTAAAGATCATGAGCCTCTAAATTTAAGAAAAACTTAACCGTTTTACTATAGTGGTATTTCTTGTTCAAATATTGGAAGGTTCTAAATTAAAACCCCCTACTCTTTTTTTGTTTTTTGTTTTTTTTGGTTGAGAAATTGTAGGATTGCATTCATAATTCAGCCAAAAAAGTCACTAGCTACAAAGGGTCAATATAAAGTAGCCACAAAAGCCCATTACAATAATGGAGCAGTCTAACATCAAAATTAAGATAATCTAGTGCGCCTCCACAAACGATCACATAGGATCGAAGAAACTCTAGCTTAGGCATCCCAACTAAAGTTGTAAACTCAGCATAATCAAAAAGAGATAAAGCTTGAAAAAAAAACCAAGCCATAACAATATAAATAAAACTCTCACAAAGGAGAGATGAAAGGCTCTCGCAAATGAGAGGTGAAAACTACACATAAAGAAATCGCAAAAATGATGGTGGTGGAGATCCGACACAGAAATGCAGGTAGAGATTCGACCCCGAAACGCAGCCTCCTGTGATGGTTGGAGGAAAATTATAACAAAACGAAGACAAATAGGGAAAACCTTTTGTCTCTGAAAATGAGGGGAGAAGAAAGGGAGGAAGAGAATAGGGGAGAGGAGAGGAAGAACAATGGCTTCCTCCCCTCTCAAAGTGAAAATAGCTCTAGGAGCAACCCCCTACTCTCTTAATAAATTGTTTTTCTTGACACAAGCAATATTGGGGAAGGGGGATCCAAATGCAGGACCTTGAGTGCAAGAGTAACTTTCTTAACCACTTAAGCTACCAGCCCCTTCAAATTATTTTTAATTTAATTGGCGGTATCAAATATAAATGAATAAATAAAACATAAAATAGCAGTTTGAATACTTTTCAGTATGAAAACACACCATATTTAAATGATTTATGGAAGCATTGCGATGCTACCTTTTCTTTATCAATAGATTGAGAAGATAAATACCTATAGCAAGAACTAGTTGATTCCTCTCAATGCCACTTAAGCTAAAGTTTTAGGCTATCCAAATACAAACTTGAGGTATGATTAAATATAAAAGGTTGCACCCTATAATTTGGATTACAATAATGTTATTTACCAAGGTCCGTCTTCATATTTTAAGGGCCCAAGGCGAGACATCGGAATGGGGTCCTCAACTCTCCATACATCATAAAGGAAGGATTTTGTGAAAACATTTTAAAGGGTGTTAGTGTACTTTCTAAAATCTCAAGAGTTTTGTATGTCGGTTTAATAGTGAATTTCACTTTCACCTCAATTTCAAGAGACCAAGATTTTTTTATTTTTTATTTTTAGACAATCAGACATTTGAAAAAATAATGGGAAAATGTTGTGCCAGATTGGAAAAAACGTACAACAGAAATAAAGTTGTATCATTAAATGGTTCATAATATCTTGTTGGTAGGTTGTGATCTTGATTAGGATTGATGCTAACAGCCAAGGCCTCTCCTTCGATGTTTTGGCATATTCTCAAATGGGAATCTTATGTGGCACGTATCAGCCAAGGCCTCTCCTTCATATGAGTTTTCTCCATCAGGTGAAACCATTACTGTCGTCGTCAGTTGATAGAACGTAAATAATAATCTTCTTGGCTTCATTGCAAAACCAGGGTGGTACATAGATTCCCTTATAATATCTATCTCTTCAAACAAGTTTACAAAATCACAAATACTGCGTGTGATCTTGTGAACCGTTGATTGGTGTGGAACTTACTGTGAAGCGCACACTAATCAACCATTGTCAATCATCCATGTGCATCTAAACGATGAAAGATGACAACATATCAGTTAAAAGATGATATGCGTTCAAACGACGGAAACAAATCTCTATGATGCAAATTAGATCAGTTCTCTTAAAATTTTGAGTATATTATATATTTCATGCTGGTGAAAAGTGCGTAGAAACAACTTTCATCAACTTGTTGGAAAAGAGAACTTTGATGTAGATTAATAATATATGAAATGTTAAAAGAAACAAGGATGACAACGGACTGAACAGATACACTTATCCAAAAAGTCATATAATCAGTAAAATAAACAGATACTTATCCAAAGTGCCTTCCTATGACAATTTACAGATTAGTTTTTTTTCAACTTGTCTAATTATTTAGCGATTAAAAAACAATGAAGTCAAGGTCTTTTGGCACTTTTACAGCTTGGAGAACGACTTTTCACTTTTAAAAGAAACAGATACTTTGTCTCCTATGCCTTCCCATGGGACACACACAAAGCTAAAGCCTACTTGCAGCTCAAAGAGATGATCATAGATGAAATAAAATAAGATATTCTTAACACTCACACCACAAATACAGCATGGGATTTGCTCAAGAAATAATATATAGCAGAGAAAATCCCAAAAAAGGAAAACCTAAAATTAGATAGTTTTAAAGATTTGTTTTACTGGCCATATCATAAGATCCACAAACTCTAAGCATCAGTTTGAGGATAGACATGAACTATAAACATCATGTTTTTACTATTCTTCTCCCTAAATATATATACCCTCTCTTTAACTCTTTATTTACCCTGGTTTGATATTCAAAAAATACTTCATGTCTTTCTAACAGAAGGTTTTTGGGTGCATAAGTATGCAAACCATGGTAGTGGATTATCCATGCCAGTCGGTAGAGGACGCGAACTGATCATGTTACCGGCGAGTTGATCCCGAATGCTGAATTTCGAATCAAGATACCAGAAAAGACACAGCTGTATATAGTCCATGGAAGCCTGCTGGTACAAAGATAAGAAGTGATTTAAATAAGTTATTGATCAGTGACACAAGATAATGAAGAGTAAAAAGTGCAAATGTAAGAATAGATCAAACAACACCACTTGATATTTAAAATAACAATGTTTATTAACCAAGGTGGTTGGTGTGAGTGGTTCGGCACTCTCATTCCTTAAGAGAAGGTCAGGGGTTCGATCCCTGCTCTCGTATGGAGTCACCACTTTGGCCAGCACTTTACCCCTTACGGGCCGACCCGGTGTGAGCGGGGATTAGTCTGGGTTGTGGTTAAAGCTTAAAGGTGCCACCCATAGTTGGGGCCCATCCAGGACCACCTCGTGGTTCAAACCAAAAAAAAAATAACAATGTTTATTATATGTTACCACTTGAAAGCCAAATGAAAAGATAGCTGCAAATTGACAGGCACCACTAGCTTAATAAACTTATAAAACTTGACGCTAAGCAAGTGGAACATAGCAGAGAATATTATTGAGGTCCACTCTGATGTCTATTCAATAAGGACTGGTGATGATGATGAAGAAGAAGTTATGATGCCCCATTTTATTGATGTTGAAATCATTATAAAGCATACCTTCCACTCTCAGAACACAAAATATCAGACAGGCTTTGTCTTTACATGGCAATTACAGCAAACGGACCACACAGTTTGTAATTGTTTGTGATTATTTCTTTATTTTCATTATGAAAAAAAGCATATGTTACAAAAATTGTAACATATCCAACTGAATCTATTGGAGCAGGATATGCTAATGTTCTCTAGATGCAGAAAAAAGCTACCTGATTAAGAGAAATCATATATAAACAAGTAGGCCATTGAATTAAACTCACTTTGTTTTTACAAATTATCCATTAAAAAATGCATGCCATCTGCTGCTCATTATTTTTAAGAGACACTTTCAACAAGTTGTTTTATGAAATCATAATAAAAATTGCATGGGGAATAAATTAAGATAAGCAGCACTAGACTAATGTTCTTGGCGTGCAAGTTGCGACTGGTTTTATATCATAACAAAGCTAAGCCTTGGAAACATAGAACAGAACCCAAATTGAAACGTCATGCGAAAGGGGAAGTGATAATAACACAAAAATTTCTTCCTTAAAAAAAACACACAAATTTTGCAACCATGCTTTATACTAATTCCCCTTTGCCAGCCTCCTCCTGTGTCTCTCAATGTTATTGTTAAGCCATATGAAATGGGAAGATAAACTATGGAAAAAATTCTACAGCATGCTTTGTCCTAATTACCACTCGCACTCACCGTCTCTGTCCCTCCGATGTTTTAGCAGTGTTTTTGAAGATGACATGCTTATTTTCGAAAGACGTCGAACATATTAGTTGAAGAGTGATTCCCTTGTTGTCATCATTCAGTTTTCGATAGTTTTTTTGTCACAAAATGCCAATAACTAGCATCCTGACATTAAAAAAATACTTCAAAAGATTAGGTTATCTATCATCAGGAACCCTTCCTTTGCAAGCCGACTTTATAAGGCCATTTCATACTCAAAACCAAAAGATGATCTCGTATTGAAAATCCCAAGACAAAGAGAACATTATTTGAGTATATAAATGATATCACTACTTGAACAATGAGAAATCATACCCAACAATAAATGGAAAAGTATCTTGCGCTGATAATCTGTTTATGAGAACTTAGCAAGGAGACTGAAACCAAGGACAGCATGCATCATCAATAAACAATGTTACGCATGAAAAAATAAATAAATTTACACGAAAGTGATCAAAGAATAATAATTCAATGGATTGGAAATACTTATCTTCAAGAGGAAGAGTTAGGATAGAATGAAGGTTTGAGAAACTGACTGTGAAGACAACAAAAAATTTACATGATGATGGGAGTGTTTATGAGTTGATGATGACAGACTAATCATGTTCTACTTGTAACTATTTGTAAAATATATATATAGATATAAGTTAATCAAATAATCCCTTGAAGATAAACTGTTCTTTTCAGTTTTTTTATTTTTATTTTTAAGAAACCTCTCAAAATCCCCTAGAATGCTGAAAAGTAATACTTAATTACAGTCATGAAATGATGAAGGAAGCTGCAACAATTAAAATACAATTTGGTTACTTGCCAATGAGCCATGGGAAGGGTTCTGCACCATTTGCAGTTGTTCTAAGATGTTAGTTGTGCACCATGATTGGATGGTTGTGAAGTTAGTACAAAATAAGATCCAATCCACCATCCATTCATGTCCAGCCAGTAGCATGAGCCCACAATCAAGTTTCGACATACAGTTTCTGGAAAGTAAACAATTTTCCAATAACTCTTTCAAGAATCAGATTAGCTTGCAAGACTAAGGAACTACACAAAACTACATATAAGAAATAAATGCATTTATTCTCATAAAGTTTGCAATGTAGTCTGCCTCTTGCTTGTTGATTATTCCAACAACAAAGGACTATGCATACACCAGCTTAACATAGTTAACAACGTGAGTTCAGATTCACAAATTGATATCTTCCTATAAACTTAATCAAACATCAACCCATATTCCTTCCTTCACGCTCTTTCACCAACACGGTAGGTATTTGACATTATCCAATGTATAAAATGAAAAGACCTGATTTTGATCACAGAGAGTCAATTACTCAATTCCAGAGGACACTTTTCCTATAAGAATTATGTTTTCAAAGAATTCAGGGTTCACTAACTTCAATTGCTGACCGAAAACATGAAACTCCTCAATAGTATTAGGTCACCTCAGGGTAAAAAGTCTCATATGGTTAATAGAAAAAATTATAGTCACTGCAATGTTTGAATCAAACTGGCTGCCTCCTAGTATCCATAAACCCTAAACACAATGTCTTGGATCTCTTAAATGCACTTAAATGGCTGGAAACCCTACAAGGTCTGCTCAACAAAAAAACACATGTACCAATCATATTTTAACTGGCTAGGGTGGGACAAGATATGGAAAATTAAGCAAATAAGCACAAACCTAGCAGAACAAGAATTCAGAAGATTATCAGAAGTCAAAAGAAATAAATTACCAACTACTCTAACAGCTGATAACGATAAGAGACTTACTTTTAATTTATGCCTTGGATTTCTTAAATGCAATTAATAAACCCCGTTCGCCCTCTCTCTTTCACCGATGAAATATATTTACCACAAAGACTTAAAAGTACCATACATTCCAAGGTAAGAGTCCTGCATTGCCAGTGAGAGACAATTGAAAAACACTTCCATTTACAAATGAAGTAATGGATGGCTGATGGATGAATTGATAGGAACTCTGAATCTATACTTAATTGAATTGTTAGAACTTATTCCATTTGGTTGAGCACTTGAGGAAGTGTACAACCATAGCCAAAAAGATAACCTCGAAAAGTTTAACAGACACTAAAGGGGGCAAGACTAAATATGTGTAGAACACTCTACTGAAATGTCCATCTTTTCAGATAATTGTACAGAAGTTAATCAACAATAATTGACAATTAATTAAACACAAAAGTCGACGAGAAACTGCAAAAGTGGAGGGAAGATTCCCAACCTTGGTGATATTTGCTCTGTTTTCTTATTTAAAAGTATACACAGAAAAAGATTAAGCAGTCCTTTTGCACAGTTAAGTTTTTTCCTTTCCCTTAAAACCAAGAGTTCCAGTTATATCACAAAAAATTAAAATTGTTTCATAATTAAATTGACCCTAAACCATGTTCTCCCCATACATGCTTTCATTTTGTCTTCTTTGTCTTACAGTATAAACGTAAAAGATTAATAAATATATAAAAAAATTAAAAAAAGGGGAACCTATTTCTTATATAGAAGAACAGAAAATTCCATCCCCTTCTACTGTACTTGTAAAACCCAAGTTCCAAATGAGCCAGCATTTGCAGCAGCCATCAACCCTTTTGCCAACCAAGGAAAGCAGTTTCACAGAAATCATTGAACTAAAGAAAGCAAGCAACGCATAAACTGCTACATGCAATCAGCCTATTGACAGATGAACAATGACGACCCACATCAGTTCCAGATTCAGAATGTTGTCTAATTCAAAAGATTTGTACCATGGAACACAGTTTTGGTTTGGAAGCTTACCTCTGAGCTCACCAAAAAGGAAAAACCCATTTCTTCAATGCAGAAATGTCGGGAAAGAAGGATCCCGTGTTTGGTTATGGTTTTTATGTAAAATGGAACAAAACAAAGAAACCTCTGCTGTTTCAGGTTTCGGTCACAATGTCGGGAGACAAAAAAGGTTTGGAAAAACAAATGCACCAGCCGGGAATCGAACCCGGGTCTGTACCGTGGCAGGGTACTATTCTACCACTAGACCACTGGTGCTTGTTGTTCAATTGCTCTTCCAGATCATATAAGAAGAAATGCGCATCGAGTTGGTGGCATTTTTCCTTTTTAGGCCAAGTCGATGTTGAGACTCAGGTTTCCATCAATTTCACCTATTGGTGATTGTTACTTGAGGATTTATTTGTGTAAGGATATGCAATGAGTGGCACCTATGAAAAGCTAACTAGTATCTAAGGGTTTTCAACCGTAGTTGTTCGTAAACTTATACTCGAGTTTTATTTTGATTCTTCAACTAATTTCCTGTTATTTTGATCTTCCAAGTCTCTCATTTTTGCTATCAATGGGGTGTTAGTTGGATTGATCTCCTCGGTCACATTCTGTCAATCTAAGCGGTAAAAACATCAATTTGAGTACAAATATCTTCTAAAATGACCCTGTATAAAAAAAAAAAAAAAAAATTTAAAAAAAACATCTTCTAGAGCTTTTTCAATCTTTTTTTTTTTTAGTTTCTCTATGATGTAATTGTCTTTGGCTTTCTATTAATGAAACTTGATTCCGACCAAAAAAATAAAAATAAAGGACCTATCCAGCTCTCTACTACCCATTTCACCCAAATTGGAACCATAATTCACCTATCTATCCCATTTCCCTGAAATTGAAACCCTAATTCAAAAAAAAATCTCTAAGTTAAACCTTAACCCGTCAACAGAACCGCAATTCAATTTTACCCTAATGCTTGCTGTTTTTTTTTTCCTTCTTTTAACCGAATGCTTACTGCTGTGCAACTGCTCAAGGTCGTGGATTAGAAAGACACTCTGCATGTATATTCTTCTTTTTCTTTTTCTTGTTTTCTCTTTCTTTTCAGAGAACATTTCAGAGAGCTGTGTTTGACGTGGTTATGAAAACTGCATTTTTACCCTTTGTGTTGTATGTTCATAGAAAATAATATGAACTCAAATCTGCTATAACATGTCCTAACACTACTTGAGCACAAAAATGAACAAATGATTTGTATTAAAAGAATATAAATAGTCCTAATGTTTGTCAGAGCACACAAAAGCAGACCAAACAAATCAAACTATCATTATGATACATGAACTGCAACTAATCATCTACCAACTCTAATTATATCTGATCCAGACAAAGATAATGAAGAAGATAAGGAATTTTTCATGTCTTCAAATGTAGGGTGTCCCTGTCCTCTCATGTTCCAGCGATAAGTAGACCACATTGGAGTTGTTCTAATGTTGTGCAGCAAATTTACATTCATCCCTTCCCCTTCAGATTGATCATCAGTGGCATCACTTGCCCCTTCAAGTACCTTCATAACTTGCCTCATTGTTGGCCTTCTATGAGCTTCAGGATATGCACAAAGCAAACCCAAATGAAGCAATCTCTCAACTTCCTCAATGCTATATCCACCTTTAGTCTTCAGCCTCTCATCAAGAGCAAATGCCAATTTACTCCTCTCCATTAGCCTCCAAACCCAATCAACCAAGCCTGGCTGCCCGGCTTCAATCGGTCTCCGGCCACACACCACCTCCAGTACTAGTACCCCAAAACCAAACACATCAACCTGAGGTGAGGCTCGCCCAGTTCGAACCACTTCTGGTGCCATGTACCCTGCGGTCCCAACGACTTGAGTGGTGGCGGTCATTTCCCCATGTTGGTGCATTCGAGCCAATCCGAAATCCCCCAACCTAGCATTCATATCCTTGTCAAGTAGCACATTGCTTGCCTTGATGTCTCTATGCAAAACCTTAGATTCCCAACCCTCATGCAAATACAAAATCCCAGAAGCCACATCCTTCAAGACCTTAATTCTCTCTTCCCAACTCAACATATTGCTCTCAAACAGCCTCTTGTCCAAGCTCCCATTTTCCATGTAATCATAAACCAAGATCAGGCTACCCTTCTCTTTTTTACACCAACCTCTCAATCCTACCAAATTCCTATGCTTCAATCTTCCCAAGCTTGAAACCTCAGCCAAGAACTCTTTCAACCCATGTTCACTCTCATGTGAAATTCTTTTAACTGCAACTTCTACTCCTGCTAAAAGCCCTTTATAGACCTTCCCATTCCCTCCAATCCCAATCACATTTTTCTCTGCAAATCTCTCCATTGCTTTTCGAATCTCTTCGTAATCAATCCGGTGAGGCCAATAATGCATTTCCCAATCTTCAATTTCCTCCATCTCCTCCCCTTTTTTCCCCTTCCTCCTCTTTCTCCTCACCAAAATCACATACACCAAGACCACACACCAAACAACTAACACACCCCCAGCACTAACCCCTACAATGAACCCTTTTGATCTAAAAGCAGAGTCCCCTGAAGCCACAAACGAAGGCAAATTCTGAGTCACCAAACCGTCACCAATCGAAAAATTTGAATTACTAAAACTCCAAGCCAATATCCTATGGCTCTCAACCAATGCTCCAGTTGCTCCACAAAACCCCACATACATTTCATCCAAAAGAACCCCAGAAAGATCCACAACCTCGCTTATCAATGGCTTCCTGGGCTTTTTCACACCAGCAAGAGCCATGGTGACATTAATTTTTGAATCCAAAAAATCAATCCACACTTGATAATTGACCCCATTGTTAAGCTTCAACTCATTGAAATCCTCATCAAACTCACCACTCCAATACCCTGCAGTGTATGAAGCATTAGATGCAAGTGAGTTCAAGTCCACACCAACATGGTTAGCATCAGGATCCTGGAATTCCTGGTTTTTGAACACATCAAATTCAACACCAAAAATATGGTTATTGGGGTCACCATTATTGGTGAAGTTGAAAACACCCAAATGCTGAGCTGAGCTTGCACCGGCTAGACCCGGCAAGGGTAAGAAGACAAAGACAAAACCATGGCCAGGAAGGAGGTTTTTGAAGGGTGCAAGGGAGAAAATGAAAGAGGTTGAGAAGGGAAGTGGGGTTGAACTTGAAGAGTTGGAGGGTTTTGTGGGGATTTTTTGAGGGTACAAGGCGCGTCCCAGAGAGAAGGTGGTGGTGTCATTTGTGAGGCTGAGAATGGAGGATTGGATTGTGGCGTTTCCATAGAGACTGAGGCTGGTGGAGTTGAAGTTGGTGTTGAAGATGAACTCTGTGGTGCCTGAAACTGAGTTTGGGCTGAGGATTGCTATGATTAGCATGATCCAAGTGTTGAGGAAGACATAGAGGATTTGAGAAGACATATGTGAAAGAGGGAGATTTCAGAGAACACTGATTTTTTTGTAAGGAAATAAGAACATCGGCTCTAGCCGCCTTTCGTCGAGGGGGTTCAAATCTCATATACTACAGTCTGTGTGTTGTGTTGTGGAAACCAACCAAAAAAGAACCTGTACTTCAGAACAAGCTTGTTTCTTGGAAACATGCTTTTGTTTTTGTTTGGAACATCCTTTTTTTTTTTAGTGCTTTTGTTTTTGTTTGAAACATCATCATCATGGTCATGGGGTACTGTTTTTAATTTTATTATGATATTTGAAGGTACCTTAATTGACTTCTTTGGTGAAAAGGTACGTGTAATTGCACTTGTGTCTAGAAAGATATTTGTGTATTTTTGCTAACATGTAATTGCTAAATGTATCTTTAAAAGTGGTTTTTGTTTTCGTGTTATTGGCTAGATTTACTGGAAACAGTGTATCAAGTTTGAGGCGGTCTTAGTCTCCCAGACAACAGATCATGGTCATAGATTGCAGCCGGCAAATTGTTAATGGGAATATTTGAATTTGAAGGTACCTTTATTGACTTTCATGCCCATTGACGGCTTGCAAACGGAAAATCAAACAAGTTGACCTTGCAATCAAGAAATGAAGAGTAGTAATGTCCATTCAATCTAGTTGTATTAGAGTTGTGTCAAAGTTCAAATCTGCGGATAGGATTTTGATACTTGTTTAGCACTTTATTTGCGGAAAGATAAATTCAAAATATCCAAACTACGAAGATATAGACAAACATCACATTATGTAGAGACCATCGCACTGCTTTGTTTGTAATTCTTTCATATGTAACAGTTCTTAATTTGCTGCTCATTGCACGAAGAAAGTCTCTGAACAAAATTTTCTTAGTTAATCGCCCGGCCGGCATGCGGCTATCTGCACTCGAGGATTACCTGCTAGAGAAATGTAATGTTTAAAGATAAAATCGATGAAGATGTCCTCTTTCGGGTGCCCGATTTACTGTAAACTAATTGTTGAAAATAATATATTCAAAGTATAGATGTCTAGATCCTTCAACGCCCTATAAAAGACTTCAGATCGCATTTGATTCTTTAAAACATGTTATAAACTGTTTCATTCTTTAAAATAATTGTTGGAAAACTCTTTATTCCAGTTTGAAATGGAAATCATTTCAATGTTTTGAAGTTCAACATATTTTGTTTTATTTCTTCTGCAAATGCAAAGAGAGAGACCTGTTAAAACGAAGGCTAACCCTTTACCCTAATGTCAGGAAAAGCAACACACCAAATTAAATAAAGAGAAATTTTAATTTACATCATGAAGAATTTTGTATGTACGAAAAAAAATTGCCACAAACAGAATAACAGATTCATTCTGAAATGGCTTCCAGAGAGATTTGGACTTATATGTGGGTCAATATATAGAATATGGTCTAAAGCAAAATCCACTTCTTCAAAATTGGCCATTCAGATCAGATAAGTTATCTACCAAGTAAAATTGTGGAACTAAAGAAAGACTATCTCTTACACATGTGATCACTGTACAGGGAACAATACCATATTTGAGAGGAGCTTAGCTCCTTCTGTGTGTTTGTGTGTGTGTTTTACGAGGTTAACGGGTTCCAGGGATTCAGCTCCATGAAGACCATGAAAAAATATGTTTACTTCCATAGCTTATCCACCTCAACGCCAAGAAGCAAATGTTGGATTTTCTGTCCCTTGCTTCCCAGGTCTAATCTTGTCAAGTCGTGCTCGCCGAGCATGTTCTTGGATCTGTCGGTCATGTTCTTTAAGCATCTTATCAACATTGTTCGACGAAACAAGTAATGGACCAGACACATAAATTTTGTTTCCCTTTGGCCCACGACCATGCTGAAAAGAATTTTGAAGAATAATTTAGGTTCAGCTAACAAAAACTGAGAATAATTATTTGTGATATGAAATTAGAAAATTTTATTAAGAAAAACGAAACTAACCATATTTGGTTCTTTAATGCAGGCTTTCTCATCTTCCATCTGACGAGACCTAGCAATTCTCTGGGAATAACGCATCCGCTCCTGATTTTTTGTGGATTCCTCCACATCAAATGACCCAGGAACCCCGCCAACTTGTTTTGTTGTTTCTGGCCCTGACGGACCAGGTTTCTCTTGTTGGTCTTCAGACAACGCAGTCCTAGCCAATACTAAACCAGATAATTTTGACAAGTTGGCTCTATTTGAACTCATAAGAGAATCATTACATTCCTTCCCAGACTTGGGCCATCCGGGCCCATGGACTAGTGGTCCCGAAACTGAAGTCCTCTTATTGTGGTACTCCGATAAATCTTTTCTAGCGTCTTTATCTGTTCGCAAATGTTTAGTTGGATCAACCAGAAAACCAGAAACAGCTTCCTCCCTGTGAGGGTTGAACATTTCACTTCGCATCTTTTGGTTAGAATGGCCTTGTCTTCTCTGTAGTTAGAGAGCAAATGATGTCAGAAAGAACTAAAATGTATGTAAACAGAGAATAGAGACCTTTGTTATCAAAATAAAGACCAGAGAAATTAAAGTTATTTGCAAATATTGTAAGAGAAAACCTCCATGGCACTGAACATAGACTAGAGAAACATGAACCGAAAAATTAATTTTTCCAAAAGCATGTCTTAACAAGTTTTATGTAAATGTACATCCAAGCAATTCTGTAAGAATCTTCCGTTAATATGAACACACAATATCGGAATAACAGTTCATAAATTCCTCCGCCTGCAAACAGATATAAGCTACTTGATTTTTAAGTGTATCTAGACACTCAGTACAAATGGCAATCTAGGCCAGTAGCCCTCCAATGTGATTTACTTAAATACAAGCCTCAGATCCCTAATTATTTCTGCTAACATCAGATATGAATTTCAAATGTTGTAAATTTAAAGATCCACAACCCTGAAACAATTGTAAGTTGTAAGTGAAGGATTCACTGCTTGGAAAAATACAAAAGACAAGAAGCCCAAAATAGAGATGATTAAGCCATCAACACATTCACCAAGTCTTTTAAGTACAAAATCTAGAAAAATAAGAAGTCCAAGAGTTCAGAAAGGAAGGGGCCATGTTCTATTGGCAGTCACCACAAAACTTGGCCTAGCATGGCACAAAAATTAAGAACTCATTTGGTAACAATTCTGTATTTGTTTTAATTTTTTATCAAAGATGTAGTAAACAGAGAGAATGGTAAGAAGAAGGATAATAGATGTGAAGGAGGCAGGACAAAATATATATGAAATGATTCATAAAACGAAAAACAAAAATAATTCTGAATCGGCTTTTCTTAGGTTTTAGTTTTAAGGATTTTCCTTCATTGGTTCATCACATCACATGTCTCCTATCCTAAAGCAAAAGATAAAACTAAAAATCAAACACACAAACACTATCGAACGGGCCCTAAGTTATCTGACTCATGCGCAAAGTAAAAATACTCAAAACAAAAGTCAAGCCAACCACCACTGTTGCAAACTGCCATAATTTTTCATCTAAGCGGCTTGAATCAGTAGACAGATAATCTTAGACAGCAGAGTTAAAAGTTCCAATCCGACGCTCAAAATTCCAAAATAAGTTCAAACATCATTTTGCATACAAAATTACAATTTCAATTTTCACCAGAACTTACAAAAAAATCTTTTGGTCTTTGGTAGTTCACTTCAATGTCAAACAAGATCAGACTTTAAACCAAATTGAAACACCAAGATTCAAAACTTATTTGAAGTTACCTGGACTGATGCAATTAACTCAGCATTAGCATTTGTTCCTGTAACTGCTGGAGGTTGTGGTCTCCAGCCCAGGTCTACCTTCTGACCCCTTCCTCCAATTGCTCCTTTCCTAAAAGCAGTGCACAAACAAAAGTTAACCTTTGCATCATCTTTGTCCAAAAGAGTATTAAGAATAAGATGTACCTTCTAGCTTCTTCCTCTCGCAATTTGGCATCAATTTCTTTGCTGGGAGGGTACTTGGGTAAACTTGAAGGATCACAGGGAAGAGGCTTTGTGGTGAAGAACTGTAGAAACAAAAATATATTAAAACAATTTCGAGGAAGAGGCTTTTTGTAACTATCAACTAGGAGTAAAATGAAAATTAAAACAAAAACATATATACATATATATAAATTTCCTAAATTTCCGGGGTGAAATATATGAATTTAAGAATGCCTGCAAACATTTAGGAATCTCATATATCAGCATTTTGTATTACTTTTGTTGCAGTTTTTACAAAATAAATCCTGCACACCTCACTCTCAAGAGCAATAGCAGCAGTTCCTCGATCAGTAGGATCAACAGAAAGTAAAATTTCCATAAGATGCACAGCAGCAGCAGGAAGGTCCTTAAAAGTCTCTGCCAAGCATCTTCTATAAGGCTGTGGAGGCTTGATCACTGTTGAATTTCGTAAGTGCAATTTACGCCAATACTCCTCAGATGGCGAACCACAGAGCTTGAAAATTTTATGCAATTGTTCAACCTACAACAAGAAAATACAAAATTAATAGACACCATCTGAATATCATACTATTATGATACATTTAATGAAAGACGTAACGTAACCAAAATATTTCTTTACGTATGTGTTTATGTGTATCTCAGAAGACACAAGAAGAAGAAGAGGAAGTTCACTTTAATGTGAAAGAGACAGTGAGGAGAAATGTAACTGGAACATGTCAAACACATGCCACAGACATAAGCTTGCTACCAAAATAAACAGTAGATATACATCCCTGAGAAACATCAAGACCCATAACTTAAAGTTTCTGGTGTAGTTAATTCAGGGGTAGGGTGGGGGGATATGAGCATATAGTGTCCAATCTGAAACTTCCTGAAATAAGTTGTCATCATATCATAACAATGATTAGTTTCGTACGATCAAAGCACTGGGCATAATTAGTCATATACTCAATATCATCTGCAATTTTGAAATAGAAATCAAGAACTCGAAGAGATCTTTCAGTTCTATTCTCATTTTATAATGATTTAATCTGTAATAATTTTATAAGAACATGAAAGTAGTCAAATAATAATTCGATGTGGCCCATAAGGGTATGAAGAATGCATGGACTTCAGGGGGTAAAATTCTTAAATATCTTACCTCTGTTTTTCCTGGCAGGATAGGCTTTCCAGAATACAATTCTCCTAGTATGCAACCCGTACTCCACAAATCCACTGCAACCCCATATTTAGAGGCTCCAAGTAAAAGTTCTGGAGGTCGATACCAAAGAGTCACCACACGGCTTGTCAATGGAACACTGTGATGAGGATCATAAAAGCTTGCCAAGCCAAAGTCCGCAATTTTCAAGATGCCACTGTTGTCAATTAGAAGATTTGACCCCTTTATGTCACGATGCAAAACACCATGACTATGACAGTGATCAAGTCCACTTAGAAGTTGCTTCATGTAACATTTAACCTAAAATGAAAAAAAATTTATAAAAAGAATTAGATATCAAGTAACAGGCTAAGTAAACCTTAAATTAATTTCTGTGATAATCAATTATACAGGGGCCTCTTTTCCATTCTGTGTTAATAGGCTATTATATTTGCACAGATATATGGTAGAGGGTGCATTAAGAATGCTCTATCCACATTTCTCCTTTAAAAGACAGTACCACAAAGATAAGAACTGTAAGAGAACTGTAAAAGCAATAGACTACCTGAGGTTCAGAGAACTTAATGCTTGGGCTTGATCCAAGTCCTGTAAGATCATGTTCCATATATTCAAAAACAAGGTACAAGCTGCTAGATGTCCGTGCTGTGATCAATCCTTGCAACTTTATTATATTAGGATGATCAAGCCTACGCAAGAAAAGGATCTCTCTTGCCATAAACTTGACACTCTCAGGATCAAGATTATCAAATCTGACTTTTTTTAAAGCAACAAATGTATTGTTCAAGACATCACGAGCCTTGTAAACACTACTATAAGTTCCTTGGCCGATCTGAAGGAAGGAGATGCCACAACATGCACACAAAAAAAGGCAGGAACTGATAAATACCAACACGAACAAGAGTAATTAATCAAACAATCGAAGTAACTAGCAAAGAATAATCATATCATTTAGAAGACAGACCAATTTTTTTCCAGTTCTTGTAAGCTTATTCCCCACACAACGCAATATTATAAGATACATCTCGTAACAAGTAAAGAATCAGACATACTTTATTTAACTTCTCGAAAGTATCAGCACGCCGTGGTATCCATCCATTGATAGCTTCACCGGCAGCTGCAGAGAGCCAAGCTGGCCATCCTGCAGCAACTTGCTCAGCCACTGTAGCATTCACAATTCTTCTTGAACCCGGATGATCCAGAACAGCAACATCAGCCTTCTCTATCTTCTTACTCTTATTCTGATCATACAATCGCATTGAACCACTGACTTTCTTATCCATCAACATAACTTTCACATCACTACCACCACCCAATTTATCTTTAGTCCAAACCGCCGCCTTTCTTTTTGAAGAATTCAATCGCGAAGCCTTCCTCTCCGAGCCTTGCTTACTCAAACTTGAAGATGATCTCTTTGGTGGGCTTTCCCGGCTATCTTCAACGGCCGAAGGCTTGGAACATATTAAACCCATTTTGCTATATAAACAAAAATACACACCCCCACAAAACCCTCCTTGACAAGCAAAATCTACCACTCGAAAACAATCCAAACCTTCACAAAACCTCCTTCTTTACCCAACTCCATTAGAAAGAATCTAAGGGATAATGAACTACGCTTAACCTTCCCAAAACCTCATCCTTCACATGACAAACATTTGACTCAACTTCACACCTCCAATAAACTTCTATTATTTGAAAAATTCAAATTTACGCAATACCCAAATTGCCAAATTCAACAGGACCCTTAAAAATACGAACTTGCAAAAGAACCTCGATTTATTTTTATTAAAAATTAAAAAAAAAATGTGAGCAAACCCGGAAAATTATAGGCTCTGCTTAGTGCTATGGATTACAACTACACTAAGTGTATGTATGAAAATTTTGGATTAAATGAGACGAATAAATACATAATACCTTGAACAGTGAAATCCCAGAGAAGCGATTGAGAAATCGATTGACAAAGGCTTGAATTACCTAGAAGGAGACTGGCTTTGTGTGGTTCTGGGTTGATTGTTCAACGCGTATTCAAAAGTTAAATATTTATAATTAAAATTTTAAATAATAGGGGACGGCAATTGCCGGCTATTTTCTCAGTCAACAAAACACACACATACACACACAACACAAACACACTCCTCTTATCTCTCTCTCTCTCTCTCTCTCTCATTGAAAAACACTCTCTCTCTCATTGAAAAACAGTTGAAGTCGGTTGCGTTCAAGATGCTTAATGGGGGTTGTTTGGCACTTGAATGTTTACATCAACGCGTTTTTATTGAAACCCGTCCGTGCCCGCTCCTTAACGAATAGCGACCTTCAATAATAAATAAATAAATGAACGATCATAGTTTCTTTCTTTCCTTCTCTTTACCCTGCGATATTTTCATTGGGGTGACTTATATGTTTCCAATTTTGGCTCCTGTTTTTTTTCAAATTTGGTCTCTATTTTTTTCAAATTTGCTATTTTCAATCTTAAGACAATTCAAAATTCTGTCAACTTCATTCTCATAAATAAATAAATAATCCTGTCAATTAATTAGATGTGATTTTGGAAACAACAACTCGTTGTTTTTCAGAAAAATACTTTCTAGAAATTGCAAAGCCATCTTATAGAGAAATCGAGCTATAAAGAATTTGTTCAGTTTTTTTTTTCTTTCTGAAGATCAGTCTAAACCCATATTGACCATTTTTGGTAATTCTCGAGTGAATTTTATGAAACAAGTTTTTAGTTGTGAATTAGAATAATTCGAGACAAAAAATATTCATGTTAGGTGAGGTTGGTGACCCCATCTTTGAAAACTTATATCTCTCATTATATCTCATGGTTATGTGCAACCTATTCTCTATTATTATAAAGCTAGACCAAAATCTATGGTGTCACGAGTATGCTTCACCAAAAAACATTATGACAAAAATGTCCACAAACCAAAAATAGTGAGACATCCAATAGTCTACAAAAGGTTATCATTGTATTTTTGACCCCAAAAAAAAAGGTTTGTCTCTGACAAAGTAACTTTTAAGATTAAAAAAATTTGAGACAAAAAATAAGGGTTAACCTATGAGGGTAGATTGCACACATTTAATGAGGTTGATTTTGTCATTTACATAAAAGTTCTATTTACGAAATCATTAATTTTTGAATGAACAATTAATGGAAAGAGCTTTTGTGAAAATAATTTGAAATCTCAAAGGGTGTTCGTGTTAGTTTTGAAACCTCTAAAGATTTTGTGAAAATACCAAAAATCTCATGGCGTGTTGATGTAAATAACTCTTATAAACACTAATACTATATATGGAATTTTCTCATTTTCCAATTATCACCAAGATTTCACCATAAAAAGAAAAGCATTAATTATCACCAAGTTTTTGTCTGCTAGCTTGGTTGAATATAATTGGTCATTTAACTTATTGGGACATTTTGAAAAGGAGAACCAACCAAAAGCATACAAATGAGTTGTATTCTTTTTTTCTTTTTTTTTTCGTTTTTTGGTCTGAACCACGAGGTGGTCCTGGATAGACTTAAGTTTACAAATTTCTTGGTTAGAAAATCGAAAGAAAGAAAGAAAAAAGGAGCAATATGAAGTCAACTCACACCACTTTCGACTTTGATAATACAGCCAAAAGAAATTTTTTGTCAAAAATAATTTTCTACAAGAAAAAGAAAATGAATATTTGGGGGTTTTATTTGTCTTTTTCTTATAGGCAAGTTTTATTGCAAGCCTTTGTTGATGTCCGAAATTGGATTCAATTTAGATAGAAGAAGTGTAGAGTCATCAGCATGACTAGGGGGTTGTGGACCTTTGGAAAGGGAGATCTTCAGTCACAAGGTCATCCTGCAAAAAAAGGATGGAAGAAGCAATTGTCAAGCTTCCGGGTACCAGTGTGGTTGTAAACACGAATTTCCTGCGACAAATGAGACAAGAACACGTGTACAAAATAATATTTGTATTAATGAAATTTAGGGTTACAATCTCCATATTGAATCCTCTGATTCGATGGTCGTAGAGATTTGATCTTGATCAAACGGGTAGCACAAGGCTTGTTTGGTGTTTGGATTTTTCTAGGGTGGAGGAACCGGCACGTATTTGTTGTCCTTAGTGGTTCTTCCAAAGTGAGGTGAAGAATGCAGAGAATTTTCTGTTTCTTCTAAATGCTAGGTTTTTCTGAACCCCCTTCTTTCGTCTTGAGGCCTCCTATTTATAGGCTCTTGTAGGATGCTTGACCTAATAACTTTCCCTATTTAAAACCTTGTTTTGTGGGATTTTGATTTGATTTAAATCAATTCCCATAATCTAGCAATTTAACCAGATTATCTTCAATTGATTGACCTGATTAATATTTGATTTAAATCAAAGTCAATCATAGAAGATTCTTTCCCTTAATTTTGTCTTCATCTTGAACCGTTTGATGCACTCCGTCAGATGTCACCACGTGTCACTTTTTGACAACTAATTTGACTTTGATGAGTCAAACGCCACATGGGCGAATTATGGGGTCCACAATTTAATCCACCGAACCCTAATTATTTTCTCGTCCAATGAACTTTATTACACCAAAATTTCTTTGTCTACAGTGGTACCTGACGAAAGCTTTTCAATGCTTAAGTCAGCAAGTGTGGGGTACACAATAATTTTAACAAAGTAATAGTAAAGGTGAAAAGTAATTATCTTTTTACTTGAGCACTATTCCTCTTTTATAAAGAAATGAAAGTGGGGGTTTACCCAAAGTTTCGATGTGGGACTTTGTGCAAATCACAGTGGTGGCGACATGTGTCTAAGGCTTAGGTTCTATAATTGAGAGATTCAACAAACAATTTCCACATCAAAGGAAGGTGTCTTCGGTAGCTGAGATCATGATGGTGTCATCAGTGTTCAGAGATTCCCAGAAGTGTCTTGCCTTTGGCAAGCTATAGGTATGCATGCGCGGTGTTCTCCAATGTAAAATGTGCTCGATTGATTATGGTATAAACAGTAGTCCCACAAGTTGCCTATCAAGAAGTGGCTTCTGGGTTGAGAACTTGTAAAATATAGAATAATCAGACCGAGTGTTTCGGCATGGCAAATGCTGTAAGCAGTCCCTCAGTCCCCCAAGTTTGCAACCAGGAGTCATTTCGGCAAGGACATAACTCGGTTAAGTCATAAAGTGGACATTGGGCAAGTAGGCAAGCGGACATTGGGCAAGGAGCCTATCAATCGATACAGAGCTTGAAGATAGGTAGGGGCCTGCGTAGTTCCGTAAGAGACTGCCCCTCACACGATCGACATGGAGCCTACCGATCTGTTAGGGGTTGCTTGAGTCGCACAAGAGACTGCCCTCCACACAATCGGCATGAAGTCTACATATCGGTAGGCAGTTGCGTGAGTTGCACGAAGGAATTCCCCCCACATGATCGACATGGAGCCTACCGATCAATTGGGGGTTCTACATATGATGTAGCCATTATTTTTGTGCTTCGTGTTGTTGTCATATTGGTGTGGCCGAATGTGAATAGACTTCGTTGGTGTGGAAACCGAGGTGTTCGTGGGCGTAGTTTGTAACGTAATAATGAACATGGTGCGTAAGTCGACGTGTCATTAGTGTGTAAAGGCATAAAAGCTCGTTGAGAGGTTGAAGCAAATATACTTGATGTTTGGAGAGAGATTTTGAGAGAGTGAGTTCGGAAATTTTCGACGAGTGGTCTAGGCGGCAACGATGATTTTCGGCAAAAAGGGATCTCCTAATTGGACAACAAAGTCAAAATAAAATGCAAGATGGCGTGACCATTCTCTCTAGACTCGTGTTTCCTCCTTTGAGTTGGAGAAGATTACCTCCTCAAGTCTTAGTTTCTTTTCTCCTTTTCTAAATGGATTTATTCTTTCCAAAAGCCAAATAGTACTTTTTCTCTCTCTGCCGCACCCTACTTTTATTTTCCTCCTCAGTTTGGGTTTTTCTTTTTGGCCTTCCTATTATTCCTCTACTTCCTAAATAATTATTATTTTCTTTATTTCTGGACAATTCCCTTTGGCTTATAAATACTAAGCCTTAACCTAAGGCTGGGGGTTCTTTTATTTTCTTTTTCGGGGAGACACAGAGCATAAAGCGGAGAGAGAGTTTTCGTGAGAAAAAAGTCGACAACCTAGAGCTGCTGTGTTGCAGAGATCAAATCTTCAATTGGTTTTTCTTTTCTATGACACTATTTATCATGGTTTTTATTAAAGTTGTCATGAACTAATTCATTTTTGCTAGGGCTACGATGTAGCCTATCCATGAATACTCAATTTCTTAGTCAATGTTAATTTCAAGTATTTTTCCAATGTTGAGTATCTATTACTATGCTTAATGCTTTGAATGTTTGGCCAACATTTAATTGTTTTGATGCTAAATTGACGATTGAGATATCCAATTTGGGGTTGCTTCTTGTAATAGATGTCATGGGTTACATGACTAGACAGAGATGTTTGTCATTACTTATGTGGTTGTTTTACAGGTTTTCCAAGAAATTTAATGGGATCTTATTATCTTAATTTCATTACTAGGGATAGAGTGGGTTGGTAATAAGAATACTTTTGGTATAACCAGGGATAGAGTATCAAATAAAGTAGGGAAAATTGACTGTCAACATGGAGAATAATTAGGATTAACATGCTAATGGTGTGTTTGGATGAAGTAATTCTAATTTCCATGGAAATTGTAAATGACGGAATTTCCAATTATATCATTTAAAATTCCATCAATTGCAAATTTCAGCATTTGGATGTCATATATGCCGAATTTAAGAAATGACAGAAATTACAATTTCACCTATTTAGATAGTCATCGGAATAATTAGCATAGTTCAACACATTATTATTATATATATATATATATATATATAATTAGAAAGACTTGTACAAAAATGTCTAACATCACATACCTCAATTGTTACTAATGTAAAGAATTGCAACTGTAGCTTGTCTAATTTTTTAAAAAAAAACATAAATCACGTAATTAAAAAAATTGAAGCTAATCATCCCAACCAATGTTTCAACAAAATAGCAAAAATTAAAAATGTCAACTGAATATAAAATGTGTCAACGCTTTTGGTGAAATAAACATCAACACCATTCCCTTCTTTCTCTCAATTGGAATTGTCTTTAACATGAGAAACTGTTTCTCATTTTCTATAAACCAAGACCATGCCTTCAGTTGTTCATCTGGAATAAGATCTGGAATTGCAATGACTTCATTATATACTTCTATTGGATTAAGCTTTTGTGTAGTAGAATTGATCAAGTGTTCCAAAGATGAAGCCATTTTAGGCACTGAATCAGCAAGAACATTAGTTGTACCTCTTTTTTTTGGTGGGGGAATATCAAAAGGTTTTTTATTTCTTCTCTTTAGACAACTAGAGCTGGGTGAAACATCATCAACCTGACAACTCTCAAAACCTTGAGTATCACTTTCCAAATCAACAATATTATTGGGATCACTCTCAGGAGTCATAACCTCAGTAGCTTCTGCACATGTTTCAGCACCCTCTCCCGTAGCTCTATCTTTGCCACATAAATCCACTATATCATCCCTATTTGCAATCACTTTAAATTGAAAAGTTCTAGCATCTTCATGAGACTATCAAACAAAAAATCAAAGTTAACCATTTATTTACCACAATTTTAGTCATACAAAAAGATATAATTGCATTATATAATACCTTCACATACTCATCCCAAACATTGTCTTCATCTACACTGATCATCTTCTTTGTTGCATCCCAATTGAATCCACTCTAACTTAATATATCACTAACTATACCATAAAACCTTTTCCAGGTTTTAACATGATTTACAAAAGATTCCCAAACGAGCCCTGAATGTATTTGAAATAACTACATGTAGTACATTTGAAATAGATAGTCCCGATCTCTTGGGCCACAGGAGTTCAAGAGATTATGGTCACCCACTATTGGATATTAATTCAATGGTTCAAAAAAGTTTCTTAAAAGGAGTGCAAGAGTGATTGAACCGTTGAATTTACATCCAACGGTGAGTGACCACAAATCTCTTGGACCCCTGTAGTCCAAGAGATCAGGACTGTATTTGAAATGAATACATACCATCTGAAATCCATTTGTTTTCTTCCTTTCTTTCTTATCCAAATCTTGGCATACATGGATTGTAATAGTCTATACAAACAATTTTACCTTATAAGCCATAGATTTGGAATCCGTACATCCAAATGGAGCCATAAAGTTTTAACCTCTTTTGTTTCATATGATTTACCTTATACGCCATAGTAGTTGGGTGTAATATTTCTGATTCTATAAAATCCTCCAATCTTATTGTGATGTCAATACGATGAGGATGATAGCATGTTCAAAGGAGTTGGATTATTCAAAGAACGTGGAGTGCTTGGTTTAAATCTCATTGATGACTTCTATGAATCGGTTGGTGGTGATTTAAAAGTAAGATCCATTCTTGCACCAACTGCAAAGCTAGAGGTCATTTTAGCTGCCTTGATTGCTCTAAAATATCTGTTGTACTATCTTAAAATAATTAATCAATGTCTAAGTTTTCTACTCGCTCAGTCACAGTAATTGTTTGGTTTGGTCCAATGATATAGTGCATTGAAGTTTATGAGCCCACTTTTGACAGTAGAAATAGGGCATGGAAGTTTATGAGCCCACTTTTGACGATAGAAATATAGTGATCCAGTTTTCATATTTTGATATCACAAATAATGTTCGTATAGCGTGCTACTTTGAGATATAGTGGTCCATATCCATTCATGGATAATTTACCATCCATGTCAAGTCTTGAGATTGCATATTGAATTAAGTTTGATTATACCTTTGCTCAATTGCTTCTCTTCCAGATTTCGACCAAATAATTTCCTTTTTAGCTTAAGGCCATCAAACTAAGCGCCCCGTAGCTTGGATGTGACGGTGTTATTGAAAATTATAATTATTATATATATGACATGAGTAGGGGTGGCAATTTCCTACACAACTCGTTACACGACTCGAAACCCGCACGGAAAAAACACGACCCGAACCCGCATGATTAATAATTGGGTACTTTTCGGGTCAACCCGTTATGACCCGTTTATTAAACTGGTGGGTTTCGAGTCAACCCGCCAATCCGTTAAAACGCATGTTTAACCCGTTTATTAAACGGGTCGTGTCAACCCGTGTAATGCACGCCAACCCGCGAAAAAATGAAGAGAAATGGACACCTTATCCACCATGCTACATACAACTTTGTGATTATATACTATGCCTTTTGATATTTATAATGTTTCTTTTTCTTCTTTTGTTTTTCTTTCTTTTCCATCTATCTTCTCCTCTCTCTTTTTTTCTTTCTTTTCCTTCTCTCTTCTCTCCTCGGTTTTTTTTTTCTTTTCCTTCTCTTTAGTTTTCTCTCCTCTCTTTTTTATTTATTTCTTTCCTTCTCTCTTCTCTCCCCTCTCTCTCTCTCTCTCTCTCTCTCTCTCCATTTTTTTTTCTTTTCCTTCTCTCTTCTCTCCTCTCTCTATCTTTTTTTTTCTTGCTTTTCCTTATATTTTCTCTCCTCTCTCCATTTTTTATTTAAATTTTTTCAGTTGTGAGTTTTGTAACATGCATGTTATTTTATTTATGAACCCGTTACATGACTCGAAACCCGCACGATAAAAGACGACCCGAACCCGACACGAGACATTTATTAAATGGGTTGGGTTCGGATTGAGCATTCTTGACATGTTTATTATCCTGACATGACACGACCCATTGCCAGCCTTAGCAGCGGTGGTGTTATAAGCAACTGCTTTCCAACCGCCATCTCCTTAGTGACCGATCTAACGCTCTTCTCTAAGTATATCCGCTAATAAACGCTCCATTTGTATATTCCATCAAAAATAGGCTTTGTCATCTCCTTCAGTGTCATTAATTTGCTTGTCTTTTCTTCTCATCTGCTTTATTTTGTTTACTTTTTCTGCCATCTTATGTATTTAAAATGATTATAACAACAATATTAATAAATATGATCAACATATATTTGCATCAAAAAATGATCAACATATATAACAAAATAGACACATAAAGCTGAATAATAATAAGAAGAAAAAAAGATCAATAAAGAATACACATTTATTAAAACTGATAAGAAAAAACATGATTCAAATGCTTACAACTCCATACATAAATTTAACTTGAGACAGTTCCAACTCAATTAATATATAATGACTGAATATCATGAATTAGTGGCATCTCGTGCTTGATAATCAAGAAACATCTGCATTACTAATGTGTCGCGAAAAGTAGTCCATTGATCAATGACTTGAACACTTGTAATCCTATTTGCGTTACCCTCTACTGTAGAATGATTTGATATCTCATGATCCACAGAAGCTAAAAACTCCAGATCTTGATCTTGTAACATGTAGGAGTCTTTTTATTCCAGCAGCCTGACTAATGGGCTTGGGCTGCCGAAAAGAGAAAAAGGTGAAATTACCCCATGTGTCTGAGTTCAAGAATCAGGCCACAAGAATGCTTCGAAAGGGTAGTGAAGCCTTAGGAAACACCCTAGTCACCTTTACCAACAAAAATAACAACAGCTTACAGGTAGATTCTTAGCTTGGCATGAGAAGCTTGTGGCATGGGAGCAAAACCATTATGAGTTTAGCATAAACAGAGAGAGAGTTGTGAATTCTTATGAAAAACAAGGGTTTTAAGACAAGGGGGAATGGATTCTAAGAGGATTTGATAAAGAGGGAGAGAGATAGAGGTAAGATGGGTGTGTTGAGTAGTTTCCAGCAGCTTGACGAAAAATCTGTCAAGCTCTGGAACTTTTTAACAGAAGAGAAAAGGGGAGGAGATGGAGGAATAGGGCAAGAAATTGCAAAGTTTTGGAAGTAAGAGAGGAAGCTTGCTCTCTAGATGTGGTTTGAGTGAATTTCTAGTTGCTTGACAAAGCTTGGTCGCACTCTGGATGATGGTTTTTGCTGGGTAGAGGAAGCTCCATTTTATAGGCACTTAAAACCCTAATTATATCAATCATCCATTCCCACTTTTCCTTTGCTTCTTTCCATTCACTCCTTTTTGGTGAAATTTCTTTAACCACAGCGGATGGAGCTCTTTGGGGTCCTAAGGTTTTTTGTGAGGTTGGACCTTCCTATGAGGATGAGGAGCCACCTGCTTTTCTTCTTGGTTTCCCTATTAGAGCTCGCAATGGAAAAGAGAATGGATAGAGATTTTGCCTAATGGGTATTCCTTCTACAAGTGTATGAATTCCCTTTGGTTTTTCTGATGGCTTGCGTTAGGTTTGTCTTTAGCCATGTGCTGGAGTCTCCCAACAACCTGAGCGTACAAATCTCTCCTGGTTTTCTATCGTGGTTTCATCTCAAACCATGTGCTGGAGATTTTTTGGATATTTTCTAAGCCACTTGGAATATTTGCGCCTTCCTAAGGTGATGGGTTAGCCCATTAAGAGAATGGACTAATTTCTAAAAGTCATGGACTAACTGCGTGGCTTATGCCCACTTAAGCTTGTAGCGTGGCTAGGTGTAATAATAATGATTTTTCGCTTGGCATTGCATGTCGCTTGGCGTGCTTGAATTTTGTCGCTTTGAAGAGGGATGTCAAGTCTTTTCTTAATAAGACATTGCGTTGGGCAGAGAATTTATTTGGGCCTAACCCTGGATTTTTGGGCCTCAACATAACACATGGTTATTGTGTTGCACGATTCGAATGAACTTATGCAACACAAAACATGCATTTATAATCCTAGTTTGTGTTTTTATGTTGAAAAATGAAGTTGTACGTAGTATACTCCATCGCTTTTTCAACAACCCAAATGACCTTTCATTTACGTTCCTTGCGGGCAAGTTAAATAACTCTTTGTAATTTTTAGGACGATTGTTTCCAGTCCATTCATTTAAGTGATATCTAGTTCCTCGATAAGGTGCTAAAAAACCAAGTCTATCAGCACAGCCGGCATCCACAAGATAGTACTTATGTACAATATAAAAAGTTTAAAAGAAAAGTTAGTTATTTATACCTAAGTTTTTGATTATTTAACAACTAGTATAAAAAATTACCACTTGGAACTTGAAACGAATTATCCCTGGCCAAAGCATCTCTCAGAACACGAGAATCAGAAGCATCCCATCCAGATAGTACATAGATGAATTTTAGATCTAGATCACAAACTCCTAAAACATTGGTGGAAATATCGCCCTTTCTATTTCGATATCTTGGTCTATCCTCAGCAAACACTGTTACTGGAATGTGAGTTCCATCAAGTGCTCCAATACAATTCTAATGACATTGAAGAAGAAAAAACAAAAATAATTTTAAGATAAGTGGTAACATTATAACAAGAACATATTTTCCTAAAGTTATAAGATTACCTCAAACCACTTCCACTTGTCTCTTTCTGAACCACCAATATCACATGGCTGAAGTTTCAAACATTCTTGACTAATTCTCATCATTGCACGCAACACACTATTAAATTGCCAGCTAATTGTTTCCTTAGAACGATAGTAGTCAAAACCAATGATCCTAAACTTCAAGTTATGAGCAAGTATATTTAAAAAGATAGCAACGGATTCTTCAATTGAAACATTTCTTGTCCGAGCCAATCCACCCTGTTCATGCAAAATAGTGCACAAACTTTGAAATGCTTTCTTACTAACTCGTAGTTGTTCAATACAATCAACTTCCTTCCCATTATACAAACGATTCAAGCGACATCACCTTTCTTCATCCCAATCACGTGAGGGCTCTTTAACCAAATAATTTTCATTATACCATGCTCCAACAATGGCAATGATACATGTAATGGTACTAAGAATAATTGTCATTTTCTTCTTATTTTCTTCTTCGTCTCTAGCACGCTTGCGACTTAAATGGGCCAAAAAGTTATCCACTTCATCGCTAGTCATGCCTGTTTATGTGTATAATTTTATTATGTAAGTAATCTACTTCACCTAAAAAAATATGACTCGACATCAACACACATAAAAAAAGAGGCCAGCAAGATACCAAAAAGAAATTCTTTGCTTTGAGGAACAGCAGGTTCCAATAAATATTTGAGGATGAGTTCAGTGGCATTTGTGGAGAAAATTTAAAACTAAGATATCATTCTTCCACACTTGTTACTATGCACAATTTAAGCTCTCAACCCATAAATACGACAGCAACAACATATGTTCAGGGGAAACAATTATTCACAGTTACTAGGATGTCCAAATCACAGTGCAGCTCCTATGATTAACACTATGCAATGAATTGTGTCCTAAACATAAGACAACTCAGAAAGGATATGCCTAATTATGCTGAAACAGGTCTCAAGAAGAGGAATTTTGCACTACAATATGTTCCTTTCACTTCTCATCATGAAACTATCAATCCCAATTACTAGTAAATAGTCCACAATCAAGTTAACTTAACTTATAGGCATTAAGGAACAAAATGAAATATTAGATTATGAAAATTAATGACTTCATCATTACCCCAAAAAAAAAAAATCTTTAAAGCATATACAGGGTATTTTCTGAACCTGTTATATATGTAACATCTCTTGCTTTAACAATTTTGAACTGTCAAGCCTGTAATTATGTTTAAGTTCACTTTATTCAAGAGTTTGAAATCTCCTTCTTCTTCTTTTTGGTCTGAAATTCATGTTGTATTCAAAAAACCCCAAAATAGGGAATAGAGATACAAATAGAAGGCTAATGCCACGAGGAGCCAACAGAACACAAGAACAAATAACAAAAGCAGGGTCAGACATAGCTAGATTCCAACGGAGCCTAGAACAACAGTCCCTACCCAACAAACTAGCTACTAATAGGAAATTAAAACTAAACAGCAAATGCAAACTCTTGAAAGCAGTTTGAAATATCCTTCAAGTTCTAATATTTAGCATATAACCTGGAGAGTTTTTTCCTTAGTTAGTCTTCTCCCTTGGGTTTCTGCTTTAGACTGATTTTCCACAAGTAGACCTCTATATTGTTCTTGGTCCTACCTAGAGACCAAGCGTAATTTCATCAACTTGTTATGAATATGATCATCTGATCCGTCTTTTTCATTGGCTTCGTAAAAGGAGCATATATCAATATTTCTAGAACGTGATAGCAACTGCTTTCCATTCCAACTAATTAACAATATGACCAATACAAACACAAATATAACGCAAAGCACAACCAAGCACATAGCAGGGGCAAGCACAAGGAGAAGAACAGAGAATTATTATCTTGTAAATAAAATTCAATTAACTGAAAAAGGAAAAATAGATAAAAATATGCAAAACCCATGTCCTGTTTTCGACAATGATCAAGAAATAGATTCAGTTCAAGGAAGAATTAGAGAAAAAGCAAAAATAGAAAGAGAAGCCCGAAGAAAACACTTGAGAGAGAGAGAGAGAGAGAGAGAGAGAGAGAGAGAGAGAGGACTTACCGAAAAGTCGGAGGCGCTTGAGGAAGAAAGGCGTTTGGTGAATGGAGGTGAGAAAGTTTGACCTTGCGTATGTATATGTCTCTACACTCTGTCTTTCTTACCTTGATTGGAAGAGCAAATATTCTTGATAGATTGAAAGACAAAGAGGAGAAATAAAATAAAAGCAAAACCCTGGTTCCACAGATGAAAAGAATCAATATAGCAGACAAAAAAGAGGCCAACGACAAGGAAAGAAATTGAAAACTGAAACTCACCAGAAAACTTAGCAGAACACCATCAAGAGAATACCTATGGCGCGCAAGCTTGTTCTCTTTGAAGAAGATAGGTTTTTCCTGAAATTTTGGCAGGCAAAAGATGAAAATTCCCTCTCTGTTGGGAATTGTACAATTCCGCCTATTATCATGGAATTTCAACTCGGGATTTTAGATGTGAAATTCCCATGATATTTTCTACGTGTAATTTGGCAAATCCTGAGTTGATTTTGCCAAACGCTGAACTTTCCCTTTTCCAAGCTCCAAATCCCGACTTTTATTAAAAACCTGAGTTATTTTACCGCATCCAAACACGTTGTAAGGGAATTGGGTAGAATTGGCTATGGTGAAATCGGAAACTCTAGTGCTCTCATAACTTGAATCTCACTACTTTATTTTTCTATGCTTGCTTTTATTCATTGTTTTAGTTAATTAATCAATGAAATCTCATCATTCAATTGTTCAAATAAAGTCTTGGGTTAATCACAATTGGTACTTAGTAAATTAAATCACTCTTCGAGAGAACGACACTTCACTTATCACTATATTACCTATGCGAATTGTGCACTTGCAATAATATCACATCACCAAGGCTACAACATAAGCTTAGTCTTCACTTCCCTATATAAATTTGTGCTGGAGTACGCCCTTCACTTCAACTTCCACACCTCCAACAAAGTGGTAGAGTATAAAGCACTCTTAGCTGGCAATTAGCTAGCCAAAGAGATGCAAGCTAAGTATATTCAAATATTCAGCGACTCCCAGCTCGTCGTTCATCAAGTCAATCAAGACTTCCTTGCCAAGGATACCTCCATGACAACGTATCTTCACTATACCCATCAACTTCTGAAAACTTCCAGTGATTATCCCATCAGCCAGATCCTACACGCTCTGAAAACAGCTATGTTGATGCCTTGGCAAAGTTGGCTTCAGCAATATATCACAACATCAATCGCAATATCCACGTGGAACTCCTAAAGACACCCAACGCCCAAGTGCCAATCATTTGCACTATTGACCACTATCCCACGTGGATGGATCCTATATTCTAGTTCTTACAAAATCAAACATTACCTATAGACCCTGCCGAAGCACAACGTGTTCGTTATCGTTCTACTCGATACTTGATTATTAACGGCACCTTGTACAAACGCAACTTTAGCCTACCCTACCTCCGATGTCTTACCCCAGAAGAAGACAACTACGTCCTTTGGGAGGTCTATGAAGGCATTTGTGGAAACCACTCCAGTGCTAAATCTCTCGCCTACAAGATTATTCAGCAAGGATATTTCTGTCTCTTTATCCACACCAATGCCCAAGCTTTCACCCAGAAATGTGACAAATGTCAAAGGTTTGCCACCATCCCACAACTCCCTGTCGAACCATTGACATTGATGGTCAGCCTATGGTCATTTGCTCAATGGGAACTCAACCTCATCAGACCTATACATGAAGGAAATGGCCAAGTTAAGTATGTCATTATCGTTGTGGTCTATTTTACTAAGTGGGCCAAAGCTGAAGCCCTCGCTACCATCACAACAGCTTGCATTGAGACATTCGTTTGACAAAACATCGTCTGTTGCTTTAGCATACCCTAAGCAATTGTCACAAACAACGGTAGGCAATTTGATAATGCCAAATTCAAGCAATTTTGCTCCAACCTCAAGACCCACCTTTGCTTCGCCTCTCCAGCCCATCCCCAGTCCAACGACTAGGTAGAAGTTGTGAACAAAATCATTAAAAAGACTCTGAAGACAAAGCTTAACAAAGCCAAGGGTTGTTGGCCAGAATTATTCCCAAACATCCTATGGTCTTACCACTCCACATTCCGTACTTCTGCAGGCGAAATGCATTTCTCCCTTTCTTTGGATAACAAAGTTGTTATTTCGGTAGAGATCGGTCAGCCCTCCTACCGAACATTTGCATATAAAGCTGAAGCAAACGACGAGCAATTGGCCTTGAACTTGGACCTCATGGACTAACTTTGTGACCGGGCCAACGTGCGCAACTTTGCCTATAAGCAGCAGTTGCCAAACACTATGACTCTTGCATGATGCCTTGCACCTTCAAACTTGGAGATTGGGCGCGCAAGGTCTTGCTGGCCACAAAAAACTCAGCCGAAGGTACCCTCGGACCAACATATGAAGGTCCTTATGAAGTCATCAAGGTTTGCCGCTCCAGCACTTACAAGCTTCAAGGTCCCAACGGCAAACCCCTGCCTCATCCTTGGAATGCTGATCACCTTAAGTACTACCGCAAATGAACGAGCCAAGATCTTTACCATCATCCCCTATTATCTTGTATTTTCCTATGCCTTCAGTATTTTTGTTTTATGCTTTACTAAGCTTCATGTGTATGTGTGCCTTCGGCATTTAGCTAATGACAAAAACATGCCTTCTTTCCACCTACACAAGTGCCTTATCACAAAAAAAATTTGTTATGCACACAATACGCTAGGATAAAATTACTAAAATTACCTTGCCCTATGGCTAGGCAAAATATTCATACACAACATGAGTACCATCGACACTCCCTAAACCCTTTTCGTCATCTCACGGCCTTTTCCTTGCCACCCTTTCAGCATCGCCTTTGTCAGACTTCTTGGCCCGTGCCGTGATAAGGTCATAATTTCACACATTTGCATGCCTTCTTTGCTTAGTAATTTTGTTTAGCTTCTCTTTATTTTGAGTCTCTTACCTATGTTTGTGTGTTTTGTAGGTTAAGACAGCAAGAGATCACATTTGATGCAATCCATGCTTGTTAAGGGCTGATTGGGATAAGAGGAATATGGGCTTAAAGACAAACCCAATTTGGGCCACACTCCTTGTCAGTCCAGTTTCGTAGGTCATCTTGCAGGCCTCATTTCAGCAACTTACACAGGTCGGATGAGGAGACATCCTTGATAGAAGTTGTTCCAATGGGTGTCTATTATAACATATCCAAATTTCAGCCCAATTGGATAAATCTGGAGCCCTTAGCACGTCAAAGACTGAACCAAGGTCACAGAAATTTCATGATTGGCTGCCATCACATCTACATCCCTAGAGCCATGTGCTCAGCATGGGCAGCCATACATGGGAGTCAAATCAGCTCAGGAACTCAGAAAGATGAACAAAAGTCAAGCTTTCCATAAAGACACCATACCAAAGCATGGGCAGCTGGAGCAAGTGGCAAGCATGGGCAAAAGGGAGCAGTTGGGAGCATCTAAGAGAGGTGTGCTTCACCAGCCAAAGGGGAGGACGAAATTTCTCTCTATAAATAGAGAGCTGCTCACTCATTCAAGGGATATAGGCAGACACACACATTCACTTCATCCATTACTCTCAAACACACATTCAGATTCACCACAAAGAGAGAAGAGAGCTGGAGCTGTCCTGGGAATTCCTTGCTGCCATCATCTAGTTCTTCTCCTCTCTTTATCCTATCTATGTATTTCTTATTTTCTGTACTCATAGTTATGTCTAACTAATCCATTTACTTAGGGCTTAGGATGAAGCCCTAGTCATGAATATTCAATGTTATGATGATTTTATAGTTAATTGATTTCCTTGCTTTCATTACCAAGTTGTTAATCTCTAGTTTATTATGTGCTTGATGTATGTTTTCTTGGAGTAGCTAACTAAGATTTTATGCATCTAGCACAGGTTGGGAAGGGGTTTAGATTCACCAATTCTACTCTCCTTTCACAAGCAACACATGAATGGCCTAAGAATCATTCAAGGGGTTAATAACCATAGGTTGACTAGGACATATACCATGTTCTAGGACTTGTGTGATTATCATATTCTCAAGGAGCTTAATGACTCTTGTATGCTTTATTCTAAGTAGATACCATGCTTAGGTTGCATATTAGAGATTACGTGTTGTGTAGATACCATGCATAATCACATGCCTTAGGAGAATCATGCATCCTGCACCTAGATACCATAGGCTTGTATGGGCTAATCTATTGTTGATGAAGCTTGAGTCAATTTCTATGCATTCATAACTTGGATAGGAAGACTAGTGGTAGATTCCAAGGCTCTAACACATCTCAATCTTTGTTTCACAACTTTTTGATTGCTGCCAGTGTTTACTTTCGAGCACTTTCATTTCACGTTCTTCTTTTCATTTCAACAACAAAACCCCCCATTTCGAGTGCGTGTGTGGTGCTAGGATTCTGTCCTAGACCTTGAGTAATTAGCAAGAGGCATTGTTGAATTTGACCTTGCCTTTAGCTAGTTAGTCAGTTTCTTTGTTCTATGTTTTTCTAGCATTCTAAGTAATTTAGCTTGGAACCAAGTTACCATTCTCTGTGGGATCGACCTCGTATTTACATAAGCTATACTATAAACGGTTCGTGCACTTGCGAGAATTAAAGTTGCTGTTTTTAATAACTCATTTTAGTTGTTAGGAATTGAATCAACATGCCGCCTTCTCCTTCTCCCTCCTCGCTCTTAGCCACCTTTGGTTCTCGGCCTTGTCAATTTGCACCACCACTTTCGTTGTTCCCTTCACAACACTTGCCACTGCCAAATGCAAACACAATCAGTCAACTCAAACAATATAAGCACAAAAAAAAAAATTCTTGTAGCTTCGACAACAAAGAACAACAAATTCTTAAAATAAAACACACAAGCGACAAAATCCATAAAAGTTGCGACCAAAGACCTATCGACTGAAAATGGCTAGGAACATGTTTGGTCATGGTCTTTCCCAGCGCACAGTCCCAGTCGTCTAAGGCCAAACACCACCAGTTCCTCCAGGACTTTTGTGAAGAACGCAAACGCCCTATAAAGTAGCCTCTCTCCCCTGCCTTTTGGCAATTTGCTTGCACCCAGTCAAAATTCCCTTGTTGCCTAGACACTGAATAGAAATGCATGAATTGCCCAAAAGTTGGTTCCCCCAACTTCGCCAACTACCATGCAATATA